ATCTCCTCCTGCTCTCTTTCTCTCTCTCGCTTCGTCTGCATCCAGCTCGTTTTTTTTTATTGTTCCTCCGATACAAATCTGACCGTGAGATGCCTGGGACCACCCCGAGCCTCCGCATCCCCGGGAGAAGCATGCTAGCGACGGACTAGCCTCGGACGCGCGGCTCGGAGCGCCCGGAGCTTTGGAGGTGTGGAGCAAAAAAACGAGAGGAGGGCAGAGTCGAGCGGGGCTGGTTGGGGGCTTCTCTCCTCTCCCTTCGCTCAGACACATTTTATTGACTTGCTAATTGGATGGAGGCTCTCGGGAGGATGAGGATGCAGTGACCGGGAAGAGAGCGACGGATCCCGGGGATGCGCATCGCGATAATCGGCTACTTAAGCTCGTTTTCTTTCGATTTTTCCCTCCCATAGGAAATACAACAGATGATTTTTTCGGCGTTTGTCACTCAGCCTCGCTCCCTCACGAAGGCCTGTACGTAATTTTATTCATGACATTGTCAAACGGGGGCTCCAGCTGCTAGACGCTTCGTGACAAGTGACGGATTTCAATTTGGATATTTTTGCGCCATTTCTTACACCTAATTTGTCATATTTTGCGGGTGTTCCAGTTGTGTTTTTCCATCGTTTTTCATTATTTACAGACACCTGATGGCTGGCTGAATTCATATCTCCTCATTTCAATGTACAAGGGAAATAGAAATGGACATTCTGAGGCAAAAACGAAGGTATGTATCGTTGCGCATGAAAAAAATGGCACCGGTTCAGTCTAAATATGAATGAACTGAATGTACTAGTGGTTGCATAATTTCAGGCTGATTTAGGGACTCAAAAATGCTCCGTGCATCTATAGCATGTGTCAGATAGGGGAGGACAGCCCAATTAAGCCCAATGAATTTAAAAGCTAATGGAAAATTTAATATAGTGGATGAGTGAGTAACGAGCTGTGCACAGAGGGAGTTTCAATTGAGGCATTAAAATTAGTCTAGACTCTCCTCTGGGGCAGCTGCTTTTGGGGGGATTCTGCTCATTAGCATTTTGCAGCACAGGAATGTAGCCTAATTAGTGCTGGACAATTTTTAGCGACTTTACGGTATGGGCTGTCAACAAGTGCAGAGTGTGTGCAGGAAAGAACTGGTTGCGTTGTGGTAACAGGTAGACTTGATCGATATTACACTCCCTCCAAACAGTTGACCCATAATATCTTCATTAATTAAAGCTTAATTCATTCAATCATATATTCAAGGTCCAACCCACGAATAAACCAGGTCTAAACCAGATCTAAATCAGGTCTAAATCAAGACTAACTCAAGACTAAACCAGGTCCAACTCAAGACTAAACCAGGTCTATCTCAGGACTAAACCAGGCCTAAACCAGGACTAAGCCAGGTCTAAACTAGGTCTAAGCAAGGTCTAACTCAGGACTAAACCAGGTCTAACTCAGGACTAAACTAGGTCTAAACCAGGTCTAACTCAGGTCTAACTCAGGACTAAACCAGGTCTAAACCAGGTCTAACTCAGGACTAACTCAGGACTAAACCAGGTCTAACCCAGGTCTAACTCAGAACTAAACCGGGTCTAACTCAGAACTAAACCAGGTCTAAGTCAGGACTAAACCAGAACAAGAAAAGAACTGGTTGCATTGTGGTAACAGGTAGACTTGATCGACATTACACTCCAGTTGACCCACACTAGCTTCATTAATTAAAGCTTAATTAATTCAATCATATATTAAAGGTTCGTATTATGACATTTTCTGATCTGTTTTAATGTTTCCTCATCACAAACACACCTGGAGTTGTGTTTTTTTTGTTTCATTCATACATGTTTAACACACAAACCCTGCACATTTAGGCTCTTTAGTTCTTCTCTCAAATGGAAGACACTGTTCCACCTTGTGATGTCATCATTTGGATCATTTTAGCTCAGGAGTTGCCAGTTTCTATTCAACAACAGGTAAAAAGTAGATTTGAAAACTACCGCTTCATGACATCACAAGGTGGAGCAGAGCGTTTTGAATGTTGGACATGTAGACAGACTAATAATGCAGGATTGGACTAAACCAGGTTTAACCCAGGTTTAACTCAGGACTAAACCAGGTCTAAACCAGGTCTAAACCAGTTCTAATTCAGGACTAAACCAGGTCTAAACCAGGTCTAACTCAGGACTAAACCAGGTCTAACTCAGGTCTAAACCAGGTCTAAACCAGTTCTAATTCAGGACTAAACCAGGTCTAAACCAGGTCTAACTCAGGACTAAACCAGGGCTAAACCGGGTCTAAACCAGGTCTAAACCAGGACTAAACCAGGTCTAACTCAGGACTAAAATAGGTCTAAACCGGGTCTAAACCAGGTCTAAACCAGGACTAAACCAGGTCTAAACCAGGTCTAACTCAGGACTAAACCAGGTCTAACTCAGGACTAAACCAGGACTAACCCAGGTCTAACTCAGGAATAAACCAGGTCTAAACCAGGTCTAATTCAGGACTAAATCAGGTCTAACTCAGGACTAAAGCAGGTCTAAACCAGGTCTAACTCAGGACTAAACCATGACTAACCCAGGTCTAACTCAGGACTAAACCAGGTCAAACTCAGGTCCAACCAGGACTGATGTTCCAACCACCTGTAGTATTGTTTTAGTGATTTCTTCACTATTAAAAGTTCACATGTAACTTTTCTGGTGGAGGATCTGCATCTGCTCGTCTCTGTGGAGCTGAGGTGTTTTGTTTAGTCTCAAATGTTCCACAGTATGTCTTTTGAGAGACAAGCCCGCTCACTGTAAGAATGCATGTTTTTTTTTTCAATTATCCATGAAAGCACACATATCGAATTAATGCTTGAGATAAGTACTGTGGAACATTACAGACATCTCCGTGGAGACAAGTTCACTCAGTCTACAGTCTCCATTTGCACTTCGATGTCATTAAGAATTTTCGAAACAATATCTGATTCAACAACAACCCAGAGCCATTTTATACTGTCCATTAAATTAGTGCTGCAGTCAAATCAGAATCCAAAGTTTAATCGCAGCAATAAGAAAATCACGAAGACTGCAATTTTTGAAAATATTGTATCTTATTCTGCATAAAAACTGCTAACCCTGTAGTTTAGATCTGCACAAAATGATCTCAAATGTGATTCTTGTGTTACTGTAGTTTGTCACTTCAGATTTATGTCTTTTTGTCAGATGCGTTTAAAATGTAAACTTGAACCGAATCCTATTATTAAAACATAAATCTCAAATCTAATCACAATCACAAAGCTTGTCAGAAAAAGAAATCTTAGAAATTTTCCCTAAATCATGCAGCAAAATTGACACTTTGACACTTTTAGCCATGTTAGAAAGTTGTTACCTCCTCAAAAAACAGACCTGGAGTTGTGTTTTGTTTCATTCACACACGTTTGAATCATCCTTTTTTGTCAATCTGTATACATCTCCAAATCTCCAAATGCTCTGTTCCACCTCGTGATGTCATGAAGAGGTAGTTTCTGAGCTACCTTTTATGTTTTCTTTAGTAGAGATCCGCAATTCCTGACCTGAAATGATCTAAATGATTCTAGTGAAGGTGTGTGAAGTTTAAAAACACTGTGGAGCACTTCCTGTATTACCACATGACATCACAAGGTGGAACAGAGTATTTTCAGTCTGAGGGTTTGTGTGTTAAACATGTGAGGGAGACAAAACACAACTCTAGCTGTGTTTTTGATGATTATAACTATAAATCAGAAGCTCTATAAATAAGTGAATAAAACATTTTAAACACTTGAACAAAAGACTGTGTGATTATTGTAAGAATATATTTTGCAAATTCTCTTAGTTTTCAAGTTAACAGCTCCTTTTTACCTTTATTTCAGAGATTGTCATTTCCAGGGCTGAAATGATGCTGATGATTCTACTGTATGTGTGTGTGGAGTTTCAAAACACAGTGGAGCTCATTTGTTTTCCATTTGTGAGAAGAACTCAGTCTTAATGTGCAGGGTTTGTGAGTTAAACATGTGTGAATGAAACAAAACACAACTCCAGATCTGTTTGTGATGAGGAAACTACATTAAAATCACGTAATATTCGCTCTTTAACTGTCAAATATCATGATTCTTGTAATATTCCATCCATCAGTCCCACTAAAGTCGCACTGTCACTTTTTCGGTAGAGGGTCCAAAACCTGCTTGTTTCCATGGAGATATTACTGCTTTGCTTTACTTATTCCACAGTATGGTGCATTATTAATCACAGTGGAGACAGGTTAATGGTCAGATCTACGGAGAAGCGAGCCTGCACAAGACAAGGCAACTTTATTTTTATACCACAATTTGTACAGAAAGGAATTGGAAGTGGTTTACAGAATAAGAAATACATTAAAATCACAATACAAACAAATCAAAACATGAATAATCATTATAAAATTAAAAAGAGAGAGAGACATTAAATGAAAGAGAAGAGTGCAGAATGAAAAATGAAAATCTTTCAGTCATATGCAGTTGAACAGAACCGTTTTGAACCTGGATTTAAACATTGTCAAAGCAGAGTTCTGTCTCACATCTTCAGGAAGACTGTTCCAGGTTTTAGCTGCATGAATCTGAAACTCAGACTACCTGTGTTTAGTCGTGACTCTGGGCACCAGCAGGAGGCCGATCCCTGAGCTCCTCACAGTGCGAGATGGTTCATATGACTCTAACATGTCACAGATGGACTTTAGTGCTCGGCCATGGAGACACTTGTACACAAGCATGTATTTTGTTCATGTGTTTTGTTAGTTATAAAACACCTGTAACTGCAACCTGTAAATGCACAGAGAGATCTGTTTAAAGCCCTACTGTGGAACATTCCAGGCAAAGAAAAAACATCCCCATGGAGATAAGCATGTAGCCTCCACCTTCGAAGTTCCATAGTGTGCCTTTAAATATGAATATCAAATATAATCTGTGTTGTGTGCAGGTGTGAGTCGGGCAGGTGTGGCTGAGCTCCAGAGCAGGTGCCAGAGTCGCCTCTGTCTGCTGCCCCAAAATGAGCTCCGACGGGCAGCCCCAGAAACGCACCACCACCTACCTCATCTCCCTCACCCTGGTCAAGGTGGAGGCTGTGGGGGATGAGGGCGAGGAGGGGGAGGCCACAGAGCTGCTACTGGAACAACAGGTGAGTGGAGCCGTGCCTCAAGACTTTAAAGTATATCACTCAAGCAGAAGTAGAAGTATTGATAAGAAAGAGGCTCTACTTAATGTTTTTCACTTAATGTCCTGGTGTGTTGGTGTTGTTGTGAAATATTTAGATGACATTTTCAACATTAAATCATAGTACTTTTTAGGCGCGTAACGATACAATAAAATCACTGTTCGATTTATTTTCAGTACACTATGGGAACAAAATTGTCGTTTATTTGTGTGTTTATTAAACCAACAATGTGCTGCCTGGTAGTACTAATAACTTAAATAAAATATTCTCAAATAAGCAACAAATGTACGAAATATGATAAAAAATAAATTCCTTGTAAAGAGTAAACAAAACATTTCAGAATGTAAAGTGCAGCACTAACAGTTTCAGCATGAACTTTTACTCAATCTTCATATTTTTTGGCTAGAAAAACCAACTTGTCCACATTGTCTGCAGTAAGTGCAGACCTGCTGCAGTTACAAACGTTCCCAGAAGTTCAAAATGCCCTTGTGAGGACCGGGACGCGATGACTGTAGTTTTGCAAGGATTCACTTGGTTTGGAGGGGTGTAGTCAAGGCAGGGGGGGCGATTCTTGTCAAGGTGGCTGCCCGAACTATAAACTGAATAAAAAGCACTTGTACCCCAATCACAGATGAGTTCCCTTGTGAATATTAAAGAGTCAAGTCTTCCATGTAGCTGCTCAAGTAGTGGCGGAATGTAAACACACACAAATTGCGCAAATTCACTCGTGAACAGTCCTGCACCAAACCGAACGTCCTGTATGAATACAAGCACTGTTACACTCCTAGTACTTTCTTTTGTATTCCCACATGGTCTTATATGTGTGTAACCCCTCAGTGGTGCAGGTAGGTTCCATAGTGCTCCAAGATCTAAAGACATTCAGGAAAGCTTCATGTTTGTCCTGTTGATGTGACTTTTTTAATACTGATACCAACCCAAATGAGTATCTAGTTTTGATACTAGTTTTAGTATTGATTTCTGAATTATGATACTTCTGACAACACAATATAGAGACCAAAGAGATCCTAGAATCAAAATGAGATCGCTGTGTGCTGTCTCTATCTAATTATAAAGAGTTTTGATCATTCGTGAACGCTGATGGCAGTATACTCAGCTAGTTGTGAAACTTGCTGCTAAACTCATCACAGTGACTTCTAAACTCTGCTTCTAAACTCATCACAGTGACTAATTAGGATAATAATTAGGAGGCCAGCAATGGGTTAACAAAGTGAGGATTGCTGCTGCTTTGTTATTCACGTTTTTAAGTAAAAGGGGTCTACTTTGACTCAGGAACAGTTCACACCTTAGGGTATTTCAATGGTTTAATAACAGATACTCCTACCTCTTAACTACTAGAGTGTGTTTGTTTCAGTGTAATTAGCTCCTCTCTTCAGACTGATGTAAGAAACTGACTCACCAGTGTTCTCTCAGAACTGAAGATGCAGCTTAAACAGGTGGCAAAATGTATTCCCTCTTAAAAGCTTTGCAGAGTGGACAGAATAACATTTTCTTATTCAGTGAATGTGGGTATTCACTCAGTATTATGGTATTGTATAGTGACGGTAATGGAAGTACTTTTAAAAGTGCAATTCACTGTGAAAGTTAATGTAAAGAAACTGTAACTCATCACTCACTTTATCTGTTTAACCAGGACCAAGACCAAAGCCAAGACTTCGACCAAGCCCTAAAACAGGACCACGGCGAGGATCAGGACCAAAAGGCAGGTCCTGAGGAGACAAGGGGGGATGAAGAGGAGAGGAGGAGGGAAGAGGAGAAGAGGAGAGAGGAGGAGAAGAGGGAGGAGGAGACACTGACGGAGGAGATAGTACAAAGACGTGAGACAGTTCAGAAACATGAGACAGTTCAAAAACATGAGACAGTTCAGAGACATGAAGCAGTCCAGAGACATGAGACAGTTCAGAGACATGAGGAGGTGCAAAGACTTGAGGAGAAACAGAGACTTGAGGAGAAACAGAGACTTGAGGAGAAACAGAGATATGAGGAGAAACAGAGACATGAGGAGAAACAGAGACATGAGGAGGTGCAGAGAGTCCCGGAGAAAGAGGAGCAGAGTCTGAGCTCCAAAGCTCTGGTGGAAAAACCCAGTCCACGAACAGAGGAGCTGCCACAGCTGCCACAAGTCCACAAAGTACAGGTGCATTTTTTTTTATATTTTCAAATTAATTTTCATTCTCAACCATAAAGTATTTTGTAAGGCACAGCATGTTCATGCAGATAAACATGCCTTGCCTTATATAAATGCATGCATTAACTAAAGCAGATGTCATGTGCATTGAGACCTGCTTCCACTGGTTCTTGAACATTGTCTTAGTAGACAGCATCTTCAAACTGAAATAGCTCAAGTGTTGAGCAAATCTAAGCCTCAGCTAAACACTAGGAAAGACAAATGGTCCATGCTGAGCTGTTTCACAGAACAGCCTCTTCCAGGCAGAGGAGCTTCATTTACTGCTTTTCTAAGATCTACCAAAACTCTTTTATTATGTACGACCAGTGTTTATGGTAAGTAATTAGAGGTGGGTAGCACTTAGTTACATTTACTTAATTACATTTGCTTGAGCAAATTGCACTGCTTTTAGAAAAGTGCAGAGTTCTTTAGTAGTAATATTGTTCTGCCTCCACTAGTGTTTAGGAACTAGTTTTACAGATAGTGAACAGTTTCTCCAATAAACACACAGGGAGCTTCTTGCTGTTTGGGGCGTTTACTGAAGAGTTGATTGTAAAACTGTAACATACAAAGATAAATGCGTATTACAAGTATGTTTTCACATTTAAATGAACATAGAATAAGTAGAGCTACATAAAACAATGTAGAGCAGCTTAATAATTCACTAAATGCATAACAATAACAATAACATTAGCTGGACTTCATAAAAATGTCTATAAAACAAGTGATTAGCATCATGCTAACATTCATGGAAATTTCCATAGACATGTTAATGATAGCATCTTATATTTTAGCAAGAAGTTCAAACTGTAAAATAACTTAAAGTGCCCCACAGAGTGAGTTAACATAAAGACATTTTACAGGAATTAAACACTGGCAACAACAGTTAAAAAAAAAAAAACACTTGCAGAACAGTGTAGAACAATATGACGGATAAAGTAGCTCAGAGTAGACAAAACAGATAAACTCAAAACAGAAATATCCTTCAGTGGGAGCAGTACAAATATTTTCATTGAACTAGCAGTACTCTTACTTAAGTTTTGGTTACTCTTCCCACTGTAAGTCTACAAAAACTCTTTATGTTGACATACTTGTGTCTATCCTTAGAAAATACCAGATTTCATACATTATTTGACGTTTTGTCCTTGAAATTCTAAATCACATGTTACAACCAGACAGTTACTCTTTAAGTTACTCTTACTTGAGTAGTAGTACAAATACTTTTTACTCTTAGTTAGTTGAGGAACTTCTTGGACCACTACTTTGCACTTCTACTTGAGTTATATTGTTTAGAAGTAACTTAATTGAATGACATTTTGGCTACTATATCCATTTCTGCAAGTAATGCTGAATTGTCATTGTAAAATATTTTCTGTTCTGTCTCGGTGCACACATCTTTATGTTTATTCATATTTTATTTTTGTTGTGCAGACTCCAGTGCAACCCCCCAGACATGGAAGCCCAGCAGAACTCACCAAAGGGAGGATGGAGAAGAGAGAAAGCCCTGTCCCTCAGAAGGACCTCCCCGCCTTCCCCAAGAGCAAAGACACCTCCTTCGTCCACCCTCCCGTGCGCCAGATGGTCAAAGTCTACGGCAGTGCATCAGATGCCCTCCCCATTCACCGCGAGGGCCCCAGATCCGACGCCATCCGCCCCAAAACCGAACTGTACCGAGAACCACCCATGCTTTACCTCAAGGGGGAAAATGGAGCCGAACTCAACAGCCGAACCCGATCCAGCCTTCCATTTTCTATCTCGTCCCAGGTCAGCCCGCGCCCGGAGGTCCTCATGCGGCCTCAAGGGGGCGCTAACTCAGCCTGGAGGGACCTGCGGGACCCAAACCAGTATCACACGGCGAAGACTTTGGACAGAAGGGAGAACCGCATGGGGGACCAGTCTCCGCTGATGCCAGGGACCACTCTGGGGCCTTACAGAGCGTCATGGGCGGACAGTGAAGGGAGGGGCACGCTGATCCGACCTGGAGCACCCATGAGCGGAGGATATTCTGGAATTATGGCCAGAGAAAGTCCACAAGGAGAAAGGTACTAGTGTTCATTTAAAGGTCTTACTTTACAAAATTGATTCTTGTGAGTGTTTAACCAAGTTATAATGTTACCTCCTCAAAAACAGACCTGGAGTCAGAGTCCTGCACAGGTCCATTTTTGGAGACCCGCACCCGCCCAGACCCATGCAGTACAGCATCGCACCCGCCTGTTAACCCTTGACTTTATCAAAGTTAAACCCGAACCCGCCCGGACTCTGTAACATTCCACCCGTTACCTGCCCGTGCCTGTGATAAACCGCACACACTTTAAAAACTTTCTAACTGAAGCATTCATCATAATACAAATTGAAAAGTTACAACTTCAAGAATTACAATCACGAAATGAAATGAAACAGTTACGCTTTCTTCAGGTCGAATATGAATTCACAAATGCGACTCGACTGTCATCACTTCACAGGCTTTATTTATTGAGCAGAAGAAACACTGATCAAAATGCTGGACTTTTGCCCCACACACGCCATAGACTAAACCAGGACTAAACCAGGACTAACCTAGAACTAACCTAGGACTGAACCAGGACTGAACTAGGACTAAACCAAGGCTAAAACAGGACTCAATGTCAGGGTGGGCTTGGAGGTGCGCCCGCATAAACCGTCAGATGGCCGCAGGCAAAAGGAGCAGCATAGAGCTCCGCACTGCACGGAGGTTTGCGCATCCGTCGCCCGAATGCGCTTTGTAGGCACCTGCTCAGCGTGCTTGGGGTTCTCCAAGATTAGTCCTGGTTTAGACCTGGTTTAGACCTGATGTCATGGCACTGCATTTCCGTCAAGCAGTTATTTGGCTTTGTTTATATGATGACGGTCTGAACAGAAGACACAAAAGTGGCATCTCGTCTTCACTTTTTATTCCGTGTTTAGACAAGCATTTTCGAGAGGAAATCTGTGTGCATACGGTGACGTAAACACATACACGACGTGAGCAGATCTGAAATAGTTTTGCGTCTTGGGCAATGGAGACGGAAACGCTACAGCAGAGTGTATTCAACTTTTTTACTCTGGAGGATGGTTTCAGATTTTTGTGTTTTTAAGCCCCAAAAATGCCGTGAAAGGCGCTTCCGATAAAATCCAATTTTTACCCGCAAGCGTTCTTGTGTAAACAGGTCCTAAATCTTGACTAAAACTAAAAATAATTTATCTCAAATGACTAAATTACGATTTCTTGTCAAAACAGGTACAAGGCCGTTTCCGTGGTGTTACCCGATACTACCACAAGGGGCGCCAGGAAAGGAACCAGCCGCACCTTGGACAACAGCGATCTGCCCATGTTTACCGAGGACGTGAAGAGAGGGAAGGATGGGACGGTGCAGAGAGCACCCCCTAGAGACAGGAAGATGCTCAAGTTCATAAGTGGGATATTTACGAAAAGCACGCCCTCTGCTGCCCCACCGCTGTATCCGCCAGTGGAGAGGGGCTCCAGCGAGGAAGAGGGTGAGTTACTGCTCTTTTGTTTTGTCTTCGGTTATAAGAATCACTGTATCTGGATCATTTGTGTTTCAAGCTCTGGTTCTAATTGACTTCTACTGAAAAATAGTGGCACTTCTCTTTGTAATTGCTGCTGTCAGGTTTGTTATTTTTTATTTCACTATTTTATACCTACATCAAGATAAGAACTTAATAACAGACCATTCAGGTGCTTTCTTTCCCTGAGGTCGCTGCCACAGGTGTTAGCCACAGGTTGATTGACAGTCTCGTGGCTTAGATGTATGAATGGCTCTTTAGTTTTGCACCCAGATTTCCAAATATGGAATCTGGAACTGCTGTAACTGCTAGCCTCGATTGGCTTCATTTGGCTGCTACCATAGACTGTATATAAATGGACTTTGGAATGTGGTGACCAGCGTGTTGGCTATGTCCATTTATATAAACTGTCTATGGTTCTGTTATAAGACTCACCGTATTGTGATCATTTATGTTTCAAGTGGGGGTGGGACTTGATTAAAAAATATAATCTAATTAATTACAGGCTTTGTAATGATTTAATCTCAATTAATTGCAAAACAATATTTGCCCCCAAAGCAACATTTATTTTATGTAACTGAGTTTTAGTGGATGACTTCATCAAATAATGCACACAGACGTGACTTTTAAAGTCAAGCTCTTTTAATTTCTGGAAAAATGTCTTGGAAAAAATAAACTGCATTTCATTTCAAAATAGTAGACAAAGGTAAGGTCCCTGTCCAAAACTGAAGAGACTAAAGTTAAAATGCCATTTTACAGCAGTTTCTGTGCGTGCGATCACATGTTTTGCATTGTATTGTAGGGTTGAGGTGCTTCTGTGATATGCATACACTTCTCTGCAAAGTTTGCAATAACCGACGCCCTTGTCAATACTTCCATCAGGTAGTTTTCTAATAGATATTTACAGTCCAGCAGACCCAGAGCGCTTTCATGCTCCACTGTTGTAGTGGAAACTGTGTGCGTCAGTAGAATTGACGTACCACATGGTACTTTCTGCGTTGTTTGACAAACTGAGAGAAAATGCGTTTAATATTTGTAATACATTATTTTCTTTGTAATTAATTAACGTGTTAATGTCCCACCCCTAGTTTCAAGTGCTGCTTCCAATTGACTTGGAAAAATGGTGGTTCCTTTCTCTGTAATTGCTGCTGTCAGGGTTTGTATTTTTTATTTCACTATTTTATCCCCACATCAAGATTGAACATAAAACCTGCAGCAGTTACGGAGAGAAAGGCAGTGTCTTAGGCAGGGTCTTAAAATGTTTATATTAACCTGCTCTACATGATCCTTGTGTTTTTATTTTGCTATTGTCTGTCAAAAAACAACCATTAGTATTAGTGAGCTTCATTTGAGTGGAGCTGAACACTGTGGGTGACGTCAAACTCTCTTAGTCCACTGTTTTATACAGTCTATGGTTGAGACAGAACACTCTCTCAGTCCACTTCTATACACAGTCTAAGGCTGTACCAGATTTTTACTCTTTTCAAACCATGACAGAAAGAAAAATACAAAGAAATTACTTTCCTCACACCAGGGGTCTCTAACCTATAGCTCTCCAGTTCTTTCCAAGTAGCTCGCAAAGGGATTTCTGAATTATGCTTATTGTGCTGAATAAGTCTTAATTTGATTAATTAAAAGCCTATTACCATTATGCATGTATCATATTGATGCATAACTTTGTGCCCTACTGTGGATAATGGTTATGTTTTATAGGCATTTAATGTACCTCATCTAAGACTTGCCACGGCTCTTATATTTATGCAGATTCTTGTGGCCACTAAAACTAGTAGCTCTGGCATTTTCATTTTGTAACCGTAGCTCACCAGAGTAAAAAGCTTGGAGACCCCTGCCTCACACCTTCCTAACTTCCTGATTCTCTTCAGATGCAACTTCTGGGTCTGTGATCAATAAATCTTTATAACTAGATGCAGACACAGCAGAGTGGCCTGTTTTTGTCACTAAAAGATGAGATGAGTACCATATTTTTCGGACTATAAGGTGCATTTAAAATCCTTTAATTTTCTCAAAAATCGAAAGTGCGCCTTATAATCCTGTGCGTCTTATGTATAAATTCTGGTTATGCTTACTGACTTTGAACTGATTTTATGTGGTACACAGTAGAGCCCGACCGATATGGATTTTGTTGTGGCCGATATGAAACCGATATAATGGGAGTTGGAGCTGCCGATAGCCGATATAATCACCGATATATTTAGTGATGTAAAAATTCACTGTAAATCTTGAATTGATTAAAAAACTTAGGTTTGGCTCTAGTGGATTCTAAATTGGGTTTATTTAGGCAACATTTATTGTTATTTTGACTCTTTACATTATATTTACATACAGTAGATTGGCCTAATGGCATTTTTGCATCACATTCTAGTTACTAGTGATGGGTATTCCAGTTGTTTTTTTTTTTTTGGAAAACCGGCTCTTTTGGCTCGGCTCACTAAAGCAGCTGGCTCTTTCGGCTCCCAAGCGACTCTTGAGATTGTTTTGTTGCAAGCAGGACTAAATCAGAACTGAATCAGGACTGAGTGTCGGGACTCGGTTTCTATCTCTCTTTTTTTTTTATCCTATGCACACGCAGATTTCGGAAAGTTTCGTTTTCAGCCGCTGCTGCTGTCAAACTACGGGTCTACATGCGGCATGAAGAGAAAAAGTGAGAAAAAGAGAAAACACGGCTCCCAATAAGAAGCAGGCTCCCGCTGTTCGCTCTAAGAGCCGCTTCGATCGCAACCGACCCATAACTCCTAGCTAGTAAACTATCGCTATTAGCCTTTAGCCGTAAATGCTGCGCACCGCGGTAGTTAATTATATGCATAAATGTGGATCATTCACATGTCTATTCACAGCTCATTTACATATCAATGCAGGTCCAGTAACAAATATACGGCCAATATAGTCACTTTACAATAGACCAATAGAAAACAGCCTGTTTATGTGTGGGAGCTACAGCAGCTAACCGCTAGCAAAACCTAAACTAGCTTCAAAGTCGACATATTTCCAACACTCATCGCTCACACAGGCTCCTCCTCACATCACAAGTCGGCACTAATAAATGTCCTTTTAATCCAGACTCAAACCAATTGTCCGAAAAAGAATATAATCTTAATGTTGCGCACGGCTGCGGGTGTAAACAAACACACGCGAGTGAAGTGACGTCACTCTGGTGGTGTGTTCAGGGACAGTACGGACACAGACAAATTACACCGCAGATAAATACTGATGCGGAGCCACATATTAGGACATTTGTCTGTAAATTGGATTAAATGAACATAATGTAGAGAGTCTAAGCTTTATAACGAGGTATAACATGCCCACGTGAAATATCGGCCCATATCAGCAAGCATATCGGCCGATAGCCGATATGTCTCAAGGTGCCTGTATTGGCCGATAATATCAGCCAGTCGATATATCGGTCGGGCTCTAGTACACAGCGCTCAAAAATCTGTCAAAATGTTTTAGTACAGCTTTGTTAAGCTACAAAGCCACACCGCATGATGGATTGTCAGAGAATTATGGCTACTGTAGTCAGGAGCCTCACGGAGTAAAAGGCGAAATATAGTTGTGCGTCGGCATTTATGACATCAGGGAAATTGCCCACATGTAAGTGGTGTGTGTGTGTGTGTGTGTGTGCGTGAGTGTTGGTAGTGGTCGGAGGGGCTGATGGCGCAGATTGGCAGCCTCACTTCCATTAGTCTGTTCCAGTCTGTGTCTGCGTCTAAACTCCAAAGCAAAGGCGTCCAAATAGAAGTGTCTAGGGCGTTTTTTAACGCTCTGGTGTGAACGCACATTTATAATCTCTGAAAGGTTTCAGATCAACCATCTCCAATGTGATAGAAGCACAGAACAGACTCAGCATCAGCAGCACATCCTCTGTCACAGAAAGAACACTCATATTCTACTGAGTTGTGTCTTTTAGTCCAACAGAAGCTGAACCGCATCAGTGCACAAGGAATGATCTGTTTTTGTCAGCACTTATAGTTTATGCAAATGAGTCATGTGGTTTTAAGTTTTGTTTCTGTAAAATGTAAACAAATGTGTGCAAAGATGCATTAAACACATTATTATTCAATGTAAATTTGAGTTGTCCTCGTAGGAAATAAAAAGAAACTAACTTAAATGATCCACCCACATCACCTTCACAATCCACATTCATCAAGACAGGTAGGCAATGATGCGGGCGAGTTACACCACGATCTGCCAATGAATCGTGGATGCCTGGACTAAGGATCAGTCTCAAGTGTCGACCGTTTGTTTCGCGTAATGCTCCTTATAATCCAGTGCACCTTATGTATGAAAATAGATGAGAGAATTCAACATTATTGATATTGCGCCTTATAATCTGGTGTGACTTATAGTCCAAAAAATACAGTAGTCTAACCTGTCATAAACACTTTAAACTAACCATAGAACTACAAAGGAGTAGCACCAGAAGTAGTCCTTGCACCACAGTTTGACAAACACAGCTCTATACCATTATGTGCAGTGTCCCCTCTCATCTCATTTACTGTCCCCGGTTTATAATGATAGCGCTGAAACTTCACTCCCGGCCAGACCATTACAGACTATGCATTTAATTTAAAGGAGAGGCGTTTTAATTTGGCCATACACTCTGTCATTCTCAGAGCTTAATGTAAAATGACTGACAGCACGATGTTTTGTTTGTGCTTCGTTCATAATTAAAATGTAAACAGAAGCTGCCAGAGCTGATTAATGTCAGCTATTAACCGTTATTATTAAAGTGCACATGACAGGTTAGACTCATTTCACCAAAACATCGTTAGCATCATTATATTTAAGGTTCACTCAAATGTTGGCTGTTTTGCTGTAGTTTTTTAATATTATTGAGTGCATCAGTATGACAGCTTTCTGGATGTGGCGTTTACAGACGCTCAGAGAAACCAGGATACTCCATATACCTGTGTAAATGCGTAGGGTGACCAGACATCCCTATTCACCCAGGA